ATCCATTTGCCTGCGAATCTCATGATTCCGTTATTTTTTTCTGCTGAATAGTACTCCATTGTGTAGATGTACCACATTTTCTCTATCCACTCTTCAGGTGAGGGACATCTAGGTTGCTTCCAAGTTCTGGCTATTACAAATAAAGCTGCTATCAACATAGTGGAACAGACATCTTTGTTGTATGAATGGGCATCTTTTGGATATATGCCTAAGAGTGGAGTTGCTGGGTCATGTGGTAGGTTTATTCCCATTTTTCTGAGGAATCTCCATACTGATTTCCAAAGGGGCTGAACCAGTTGGCACTCCCACCAGCAATGGAGGAGTGTTCCCCTTTCACCACATCGTCTCCAGCAAAAATTGTCACTGGTGTTTTTGATTTTAGCCATTCTGACAGGAGTGAGATGGTATCTCAGAGTTGTTTTGATTTGCATTTCCCGGATGGCTAAGGATGTTGAGCACTTTCTCAAATGCCTCTCAGCCATTTTAGACTCCTCTATTGAAAACTCTCTATTTAGTTCTGCAGCCCACTTTTTAATAGGGTCCTTTGGTGTTTTGGAGACTTGCTTCTTGAGTTCTTTGTAAATTTTGGAGATCAACCCTCTGTCAGATGTGGGATTAGTGAATATTTTTTCCCATTCTGTGGGCTGCCTTTTTGTCTTGCTGACTGTGTCCTTTGCCTTACAGAAGCTTCTCAGTTTCAGTAGGTCCCATTTATTAATTGTTGATCTCACTGTCTGTGCTACTGGTGATATGTTCAGGAAGCTGTCTCCTGTACCAATTCATTCAAGGGTACCACCCACTTTCTCTTCTAAGAGGTTCAGTGTGCCTGGATTTATGTTGAGGTCTTTGATCCATTTGGACTTAAATTTTGTGCATGGCGATAAACATGGATCGATCCGCATTCTTCTACATGCCGGCCTCCAGTTATGCCAGCACCATTTGTTGAAGATGCTTTCTTTATTCCATTGTATATTTTTAGCTTCTTTGTCAAAGATCAGATGTTCAAACATGTGTGGGTTAATATCAGGGTTTTCAATTCGATTCCATTGGTCTACCTGTCTATTTTTGTGCCAATACCAAGCTGTTTTCAGGACTATAGCTCTATAATAGAGCTTGAGGTCAGGGATGGTGATGCCTCCGGACGTTGCCTTGTTGAACAGGGTTGTTTTGGCTATCCTGGGTCTTTTGTTTTTCCATACAAAATTGATTATTGTTCTTTCAAGGTCTGTGAAGAATTGTGCTGGGATTTTAATGGGGATTGCATTGAATCTGTAGATTGCTTTTGGCAGGATTGCCATTTTTACTACATTGATCCTACCTATCCAAGAGCATGGGAGATCTTTCCATTTTCTGAGGTCTTCTTTAATTTCTTTCTTTAAAGATTCAAAGTTCTTACGATATAGGTCTTTCACTTGTTTGGTTAGCGTTACCCCAAGGTATTTTATGTTGTTTGTGGCAATTGTAAAGGGTGATGTTTCTCTGATTTCTCTTTCAGCCCTTTTATCATCTGTATATAGTAGGGCTACTGATTTTCTTGAGTTGATCTTGTAGCCTGCCACTTTGCTGAAGGTGTTAATCAGCTGTAAGAGTTCCCTGGTAGAGTTCTTTGGGTCATTGATATAAACTATCATATCGTCTGCAAACAGTGAAAGTTTGACCTCTTCCTTCCCAATTTGTATCCCCTTGATCCCCCTTTGTTGTCGTATGGCAATAGCTAGAACTTCAAGTACCATGTTGAAAAGGTATGGAGAGAGTGGACAGCCTTGTTTTGTTCCTGATTTTAGAGGAATTGCGTTGAGTTTCTGTCCATTTAGTTTGATGTTGGTTGTTGGTTTACTGTATATAGCTTTTATTATGTTTAAGTATGTCCCTGTTATCCCAGATCTCTCCAAGACCTTTATCATGAAGGGGTGTTGGATTTTGTCAAAGGCTTTTTCAGCATCTAGTGAGATGATTATGTGATTTTTGTTTTTCATCTTGTTTATATGGTGGATTACGTTGATGGATTTTCGTATGTTGAACCATCCCTGCATCCCTGGGATGAAACCTACTTGATCGTGGTGAATGATTGTTTTGATGTGTTCTTGGATCCGATTTGCCAGTATTTTATTGAGTATTTTTGCATCAATGTTCATGAGGGATATTGGTCTGAAGTTCTCTTTCTTAGTTGTATCTTTGTGTGGCTTGGGGATCAAATGTACATTGATCTTATTATTTGCCTTCCTCAAGTTCATCCAGATCCTTTCTTCCTCTCTGACAATCCCGCCATTTGCTGTTCCTTTAAAAATCAACAAAAAATCAATACAACAAAAATCCCCCAAACCTAGAGAAAAAAATACAGCATTCCAAAAATAAGCCTGCAGTTACAACAACATTTATAATGAAATAAAAACCCACACAGAACCTTCGGATCTATATTTATTATCAACTAACTCTTATTTATGAGCCCTGCCCTGGAGTAATTGACATATCCAGTGTTATTCCATTGAAGAAAAATGCCTTTCCCTCACCCTGGCGGTAGAAATGACAGTTCAATTGCTAACATTTACACTACTGACTCATTTTTAACTAAATAAATGACTAGCTAACTAACTAACTGTTTGTGTAACTAACTGAATAAGTAACTAACTAGCTAATTAATTAAATAAAATATGGGAAATAAAATACTGTGGTATGAAACAAAACCTATCACCTCAAAGTTAGACAAAACAAATAGAAGGAAAAGAGCCCAAGAAAAGTCACAGAGTCATAGAATTATGAGTTTGCACACCCAGGTATTACATAAACACATTAATCTGGAAAACATACTTTAAATGCAGAGGACCTGGTACAAACCAGTGAAGGCCCTGGGCATAATGCTTCAGTCTCTATGAGTTCATATGAGTCCCAATGGCTCTTACATACTTCAGCTTTGTTTTCTGTGGAATTCCTTGATCACTGGTGATAAAACACCAGTATCAACACAAGTTACAGAAGTGAAAGTTCATTTGGGTTTGTGGTCCCAGATGCTGAAAGTCTATCATGTCTGGGAGGCATGACAGGAGGCAACAGGTAACAGAGTAACAGCAGGAAGCTGAGAGCTCTTATCTTGAACCACAAGCACAGTGAAGCAGGTAGGAAAAAAACTGGCAGGAGTATTTTAGCTCTGAAAACCTGTCCTCAGTAAAATCCATCCTCCAGCAAGGCCTCATCTCCTAAAACTGTCCAAATGGGCCAACAACTGTGAAACAAACATTCAAGTATGGGAGCCTACAAAGGACACTCTCATTCAAACTACTACAAGGGACATTTTCTCAGTTTGGTTCCTATTTTCCTCCATTTATTTGATATTTACAAGTTTTGTGGGATAGACACTTTCAACATATGTCCTTATGCTCCCATGAATTTCTTCAATAACTGCTGATATTTTTCTCCTTTTGTCTATTTGGGGTTATTGATTTGGTTGTTCCTTCTCTCTGTGTGTCTCTCTCTGTGGCTCTCTAGTGGGTTGATTCTTTGAGTAGAGAATCCAGATTGAAAGACCATTAGCTAGCTTCCTATCTTGAATTGATTTCACTGTTTCATTCAACTGTTTGTTTGTGTCTGCAAGATCTGGTCAGAGAAGGAGGTGTGGGGTGTCTGGGTACTAAATGTGTTCATGGAAGTTACACTGAAGGGACCAGGCTACATTCTAGAGAATCAGCTAAGTCTAGGGGGAAAGTGGACTGAGGGAAAAAGGGCAAAATATGTCTGTCTGTGATTGCAGCTAAGTATGTAAGGACAAAGGCAAGAGCTTAAATGCTGAGAAGTAAGGGTGTGGTCAGACAAGGCTATGACTGTGGATGCATCACAAAGGCTAGAGTGTTCTAAGAATGTCCTGGATTCTGAAGTCAAGGAAACTCACTGAGCTCTAGCCTAGAGGAGCAGTGTGGAGGTGGATAGCTATTGGTACAGAGGATCATTCTTTAGGAGTGCCTGGGTATGGTTACAGGTAGGGCATTTCATGGGTGATGCCTAGAGCTTGGCTGGCCTGACAGAGTTTGGTGGAGCTGGGGCTGTGGGACCCATGATAGAACATGGAGAATAACATGGGGAGTCTGTGTTCATTTTATGGGGATGGAGACAGTACCAAATAGGCCTATTGGTGGCTGCAGGCAGGTCAGGGACTGGTAGAATCCTAGATATTCGCCTCAGTATAGGCAGTGTTGGTCAGAGTACTAATGAGTAAATTATATGAATCTGGCTGAAGCCTACAGGTCTGTGTGGCACAGACAGGGTGAGTCACATTAGTCCATGGCACTAATTATAGCATCAAGACTAGATATGGTAGTAGGAAATAACCTTGGATGTTGATGTAAGGACATACATATTACAACCTGGAAGAGGACATGGTTATTCAGAGTACCACCTGGGGTGGTGGGGAAAAATAGACAACAGACATGAGGCAAGTTGCAGGTAGGGCCATCCCAGATGTAGGCTAGAGCTTCTCTGAGACAACGGTGGTTGTGGTCACCCTAGGTTCGTGCAAAGATGTGGAAGCCTAGGTATTGGCTATCACACATGTTAGGTGGCCAGACTAGATCAAGACACTGAAGGTGGGACCTGGGTAGAACTTGCAGGTTACATGAACGCTTCAGTGGGTAAGTCCAAGGAACCAACCAGGCTGACCCCAGAGGAGGCCTGGGGATGTCTGCATACCAAGTCACTTGTTTGCAACCCTACAAAAGTTGTTAGGGTGGACCCTGTAGGTAAAGGTGGGAAGAATGGTATAAATGATAAAATGAGGTTGTGTGTGATTTATTAGAGTGGCTTTCAGGCTGTAATCTGACTAGTCCAATAATGGCTGTCTACAATGGAAGGTCCAGGAATCCAGGAGATGTTCATTCTATAGGTCTGATTGTTTCAGCTGGTCTTCAGTAGGCATCTAAATACCAAAGAAGTAGGCTCTAATGCCAGTGAATCAAGAGCATGGGCAAGCAGTAAAAGAGCAATAATTTCTTTCTTCCTTGTCTTTTACCTAGGCAGCTACACCCAATTCTACACCACATCATAGGTAAGACTTCCCACCTAAAGTGATCTGGATTTAAGGTGGGACTTCCTACCTCAAATGATCCAGTTAACTAAAATCCCTGTGTAGGCCCTAATGCCAGTGACTCGAGAGCATGGGCAAGCAGGAAAAGAGCAATGATTTCTTTCTTTCTTGTCTTTTACCTAGGCAGCCACACCCAATTCTACCCCGCAACATAGGTAAGTGTTCACACTTAAAGTGATCTGGAATTAGGGGGGAACTTCCTACCTCAAATGATCCAATTAAGTAAAATCACTCACAGGTGTGCTAAGTGACTTAGATTTTTAGGTAATAGCAGATGTGGTTAGTTGATAATCAAGAATAGTAATCATAAATAGGTAATGAGGAACATGGTTAAAGGAAACAGAAGGAAATTATTACTGGTTTGGTGGAAACCTACACCTTGGATCCTTTGCCGTTGGGGGTGGACACAGTAGGACTATGAGAAGGAATTGGGACAAGGGCTACATCTATTGGGTTACAGAAAGGTTTGGTGGGAACACCAAGGGATCTCATTGTCCATGCTCTTCAGGAGGACATGGGAAATATTGGTACCTACTTATGTAATGGAGGAAGGGAACCTGAGGGGTTTTGCAGGGAAGGCAGGAGTTAGTGAAATCCTTGACCTTGGGTATGCCATTCTCAAGGTTGGAGCATGGGATATGGGGCCCATAGAAGACCCTAGAAAATTATATGGGGAGTGAGTTGAGGCATGCATCCCAGAAGAGGTCAGTGGGTGATCACAGGTATGGTGTCCTGGATGTATCCTAGAGCTTGGCTTTATCACAGGGTTGATATTTAGACTAGTCCTGGGAACTGGATGTTAACAAGGGCTAGACTGTGTATGAAGTCCTGTGGAGTCTGAACACCAAGTACTGGTGGGGTCACACTGAAGGGATCAGAGCACACCTGTAGAGGGCAAGATAAGTCTAGGTGCTGAGGGATATGATGAAAAAAAACACAGGAGGAAACTGGGGGGTTACATGTAGGGTGAGTCCTGCCAGAAGCCTAGTGCTTTGCTGCAGCACAAGTAGGGTGTTGAAGTCAGGCTAGGTTGGAACACAGGAGGTAGAGTACAGACTAGGCAATGGAGGAACATTCAAGGTCTGGATAACAATGCAGTTGACGGGGGCCACATAATAGGGGTCCAAATTGACCCTGCACAAGGAGGTGTGGAACCTGGTTATTCAGGAGCATTGTTAAAGCATCATGGTAAGTACTGATGGGTAATTGCAGGTATGTTAGTCCTGGTTTTAGCTGAGATCTTGGTTGTAGTGACAGCTGAGTTAGTCAGAATAAGCCAGGACAGAAGATATGGAACCCTTAGGAAGCCTAGAGATCAGCTGCTGTGCAGGGAAGACTGGACAGACTATGCCATGGCACTGATCCTAGGAAAAAGGCTTGAAGGGGATGCCAAGGGTACTCAACAGACTAGTCCCTGGAGGAAGACTTGGGAAGTCTGGGTACCTAAATGGGTGGTGAGGGCTTGGAACAAGGGACCTATTAATGTTTGCATTTAGGACTGGTGCTATCTGAAGCACAGACCTTGTTTGCAAAGCCTGCAGCTGGGGAACAGTGAAGTCTCAGGTGGTCATACTAGGCTGCTGCAAAATATTTGCTACCCTGACAATGCCTGGTGATGGCTGCTGTGTCGGTACGGTGTGAGGGGCAAACTAGGCCAAGAAACTAGTTTTATGATCTGTGCTAGATCTTCCAAGTTGAAAGAAAGATATTAATGGGCTTCTATGGGGAGGTCAGGGCTACTTACGTGTCTATACACTACTAGAGACAGGGAGAATCTGGGTAACAAGGGCATTGTTAATGAGACCTCAAAGGGCCCGGTGTGTGGTTGCTTATAGGGCAGGTCCGGGCTAAAACCTAGAATTTGTCTGCAGGAATTCCAAGGTGGTCACAAAAAGCCAGAGGAAAGATAAGGGACCTTAAGGAAATAAAGATGTTGCCTGATGTACAGTGATCATGACCAGCCCAGGCTGTGAGACCCAGGTTATAGGACCTGCTGGTTTTGAGCCCAGGCCAGATCTGGCAAGTTGTGCAAAAGGCTTGGATGGGAATCCAAAAGAGCTCATTGAGTACCTGATGGACCTCAGCTGAGTACATGAATAATCTTTGTATTGAGTACGTTGATTGGGCAGGATAGTTGGGTTGTCACACAGTCAGGATCAGGCTAAACCTCAATTGAGGTTGTAGAATAATTGCCCTCAAAGCAGTGAATCAGAGCTTGTCCAGAATGTGCCTATGCATAGCTACCAGTAGGCCATGTGCGGATCAAAGCCTAGATCTTGGCTGTAGTACAATCTGTTGTGGTCATACTGGGCATGGGAAAAAGCTGTGGGATAGGGTCTAGATTTGGTATTTTTCAGAAAAGGTATGGATGATAATGTCAAGGTCAGGCCTTAACCTAGATGAGTATATGTGAAGTCTGGTTTCCTAATGTGGTGGCAACGGCTTCACAGAAGGGATCTGTAGGCAAATCCTGGGAATGCAGGTTTTGGTTAAGCTAAGAGCTTCTCACTGACCCAGGAAGTTTTGGTTTGTCTGTGCTAGTGCCAATGATGTGTGACCCTGGTGAAGCCTAGAAGTTGTCTGTTGTACAGACATGGCAGGCCAGAATAGACCATGATGATTCAGGATTTGAAAACCATGCTTAGATCTGGTGGGTTTCAAACAGGCATGAAGGGTAAGTCAAGGGAACTTACCCGGGCTAGACCCGGGAGGATGACATGAGAACTCTGGGTAGAAAGTGGATGGTGGAGGCTGCTCATAAGGGCCCTATAGGAGGCTACATGTAGGGTTCTCCTTGCTGAAGCCTAGAGCTTGTCTGAAGAACAGGCCTTGGTTTCAGACTAGGCTAATGAAAAGGAAGTGATACCTTGAAGAGGCCTAGATGTTGGCTACTGTGCAGGCTTGGGTGACCAAGCTAGGCCAGGGTGCTGCTTGTGGGATCCAGGCTAGATCTGGAGACTTGAAGAAAAAATGAATGGGGATGTTGTTGGAATACACTGGGATTAACCATGGAAAAGAACAGAATTCTGAGATCCTACAGGGTTGATGGTCACATCACAGAAAAGACCTATGAATGGTTTCAGATAGGGAAAAATGTGTTCATAGTCTAAAATTTGGTTCTGAAGTACAAAGGGCTGGTCATTCTATGCAGGGCTGGGTGTTGTTAGATGTATGAGGGACATTAGTGGGTTAAATTGGAAGTTGGTGACAGAATGAGTTGGTCCAGGTGTTCCAGAAGTGGCCTCTGGATGGCTGCATGCAGCCTGAACTTGATAATAAGACCCTATTGAGGAGAACATCACAGCTTTGATCACAGTACATGAAAAAGTCAATCTGGTAGCTGACCATAAGCTGTTTGGTTTGATAGTGTCAAAGGGTGCTGTGCCAGTAGCTGGGCGAGAAAAGTCAATCATAGCCGTACCCAGCTGCAAACCCTGCAAGTTAAACAATGATGGGCCTGGCAAAGATTTGCTGACAGGTACAATAGTGGCATGATTTTCGTGGAGGTAACTGGCCCCTTTCTTGTTAGCTACATGGCTAATATAGTAAACCTAACCAAGAGCCCATGGCTATTTAAACCATAGGCCCAACAGGAGACTTGCTACAATTATTTTGTTAAATAAGCATAATGACAAGGTGCCTTCTAAATATGGATGTTGATATCTCTATGTTAGTGTAGCTCACAGTCTGCATCAAGGAAGCTTTTCCTGTAGTGACCTGCAGTTAACATGGAGACTCACAATGGTTAAAATGCCATGTCTCTGGAGAGTTTAGCCATTCAGGGGATCATTACATCACTCTCCATCTAGTTAAGGCTCTGGAAACATCACAAAAGAGGGGCCAGGAAGATTATTAGAGCCAGATGTTAGGGAACATGGCATGACTATGTCATTGATGAAGTCATTGCGGTTGTGTCAAAATCAAACCTGCCAATCAACCCTCACAAAGAATTGGTCGGGACATCATTAACTGAGGACTTATTGGCAGTAGATGACTGTTAGAGGAAGGAGAATCTGGTTTTTTTTAGGGCTATCCACTATTGGGTTGGCCGTACACAAGATGGCTCAACAATGGGCATTTTTAGACAACACTAATCAGATTCATTGCATCATTAAAAGAACAACAACAATAATAAAGGAAAAGTTGATTGAGACATTGCAACTGTCAAAGATTCTAAAGAAGTTATCATAATCTTAGAGCCCAGATCAACTGTGCTGTGTCTACTCCCATCTGCCGCTGTATAGAGACTCTAGACTAGTTGGCTACAAGCTAGTTTGGTCTATGAATAGCATGTTTTGTGTGATGGCAACACAGTAGCTAAATGCACCCCTATTCCCTACACTCTTCTTCCATCCTAAAAGTCATGCATTGATTACCTAAAAGGTAAGATCACTTTCCTTTCCCCTGTCACCCGGGAAAAATAGACAGCCTAGGTACAAATGTGCATGATAGACTGCTCATCAGTCAAAGAGCAAAGAACATTCCTCCTTCTTCTAAAGTTTATGAGGAGGGACCATTCTCCACTTCATGAGCTATATCTTGTCCCAGAACCTCCTTCATGATGCCATCTGTCTGTCTATAGCATTAATAATTCTAATCTTTGATCCTCAAAGGACAATGGGCCTCAGTGTTGTCCTTGAACCCAAACCTGCATTCTTTCACAATGGTGATGATCCCCAGAAGGGTACTCTCAAGCCCTATATGAACAGGAATGGAGAGAATGGACATCTTTCCACATTTTTACACAGTCACTGATTTTAATGAAATCCTACTATTTTGTTTTCTCTATTTAGTGCAAATTTGGTTGTGGGCTTCTTTTTCATTATTTTACATTATTTAAAACATTTTTACATTAAATGTAATTTGATCTTATTCTTCCTCTTGCTCAAGTTCATCCAGCTCCTTTCTTCCTCTCTGACCACCCCACCTTTTGGTCTTTATTTATAAATCAACAAAAAAACAATACAACAAAAATCCCCCAAATCTAGAGGAAAAAAATACAGCATCCCAAAAAGAAACCAGCAGGAACAACAAAAGTAATGAAATAAACACACGCAGAAATGCCAGATCTGTTTTTTGTTACCAACTAATCCTGATTATGAGCCCTGCCCTGTGAGTGACTGACATACCCAGTGTCATTCCATTGAAGAAAAATAGCTTTCCATCGCGCAGGTAGTAGCAATGTCAATTCAGTTGTTAACCTTTACACTTTCCACTCATTTTCTCACTATCTAAATGACTAGCTAACTAACTATTTAACTAACTAGCTAGCTAGCTAGCTAATTAATTAAATAAAATATGGGAAATAAAAAATTGTAGTATACCTAAAGTGATCAGGATTTAAGGTGGGACTTCCTACCTCAAGTGATCCAGTTAACTAAAATCCTGTGTAGGCTCTAATGCCAGTGACTTAAGAGCATGGGCAAGCAGGAAAAGAGCAATGATTTCTTTCTTCCTTGTCTTTTACCTAGGCAGCCACGCCCAATTCTACCCCACACCATAGGTAAGTCTTCCCACCTAAAGTGATCTGGATTTAAGGTGGGACTTCCTACCTCAGATGATCCAGTTAACTAAAATTCCTGTGTAGGCCCTAATGCCAGTGAATCAGGAGCATGGGCAAGCAGGAAAAGAGCAATGATTTCTTTCTTTCTTGTCTTTTACCTAGGCAGCCACACCCAATTCTACCCCGCAACATAGGTAAGTCTTCCCACCTAAAGTGATCTGTATTTAAGGTGGGACTTCCTAACTCAAATAATCCAGTTAACTAAAATCCCTCACAGGTGTGCTAAGTAACTTGGATTTTTAGGTAATATCAGATGTAGTTAGTTGATAATTAAGAATAGTAATCACAAATAGGTAATGAGGGACATGGTTAAGGGAAACAGAAGGAACTTAAGACTGGTTTGGTAAAACCTAGACGTTGGCTCCTTTTCCATTGGGGGTGGACACAGTAGGACTATGAGAAGGGCTTGGAACAAGGCTAGATCTATTGGGTTACAGAAAGTTTTGGTGGGATCACCAAGGGCACTCGTTGTCCTTGCTCTTCAGGAGGACACAGGAAATATTGGTACCTACTGAGGTAGTGGAGGAATGTTTCCTGTGGGGTTTACAGGGAAGACAGGTGTTGGTGAAATGCTTGACCTTGGGTATGGTATTCTCAAGGATGGAGCATGGGATTGGGGACCCATAGTAGACCCTAGACAAGTATATTTCAAGTGAGTTGATGGATGCATCCCAGAATGGGTCTATGGGTGATCACAGGTAGGGTGTCCTGGATATATCCTAGAGCTTGGATGTATCACAGGTGAGGGTATTTAGGCTTCTCCTGGTCACTGAATGTTAAAAAGTGGTAGACTGTGAATGAAGTCCTGTGTAGTCTGAACACCAAATACTGCTGGGGGTCACACTGAAGGGATCAGATAACACCTGTTAGAGGGCAAGGTAGGTCTAGGTGCTGAGGGATATGATGGAAAAAACACAGGAGGAAACTGGGTAGTTACATGTAGGGTGAGTCCTGCCAGAAGCCTAGTGCTTTGCTGCAGCACAAGTAGGGTGTTGGAGTCAGACTAGGTTGGAACTTGGGCGGTCGAGTACAGACTAGGCAATGGAGGATCATTCATGGTCTGGATAACAATGCAGTTGACGGGGGCCACATAATAGGGGTCCAGATAGACCCTGCACAAGGAGGTGTGGAACCTGGTTATTCAGGAGCATTGTTAAAGCATCATGGTAAGTACTGATGGGTAATTGCAGGTATGTTAGTCCTGGTTTTAGCTGAGATCTTGGTTGTAGTGACAGCTGAGTTAGTCAGAATAAGCCAGGACAGAAGATATGGAACCCTTAGGAAGCCTAGAGATCAGCTGCTGTGCAGGGAAGACTGGACAGACTATGCCATGGCACTGATCCTAGGAAAAAGGCTTGAAGGGGATGCCAAGGGTACTCAACAGACTAGTCCCTGGAGGAAGACTTGGGAAGTCTGGGTACCTAAATGGGTGGTGAGGGCTTGGAACAAGGGACCTATTAATGTTTGCATTTAGGACTGGTGCTATCTGAAGCACAGACCTTGTTTGCAAGTGTAGGCAAAGGTTGTCAGAGTAGGCAATGCATAGAATATGGGATAGGACTTTGGAGACAGCTGTGAGGAATCTGTGTACTGAGCAGTGATGGTCACACAGAAGGGGTTGTACTAGACACTGGAGCCTGAGTTAGGAAGTCTGGGTACTAACTAGCATAGTGGAGGCAGTCCAGAATGTACCTGTGGGTAGATGCAGGGAAGGTGAATCCTGGACAAAGCCTGCAGCTGGGGAACAGTAAAATCTCAGGTGGTCATACTAGGCTGCTACAAAATATTTGCCTCACTGACAATGTCTGGTGATGGCTGCTGTGTCAGTACAGTGTGAGGGGCAAACGAGGCCAAGAAACTAGTTTTATGATCTGTAATAGATCTCCCATGTAATGAAAAGATATTAATGGGCTTCGATGGTGAGGTCTGGTCTACTTTCCTCTCTACACACTACTGGATGGCAAGGAGAGTCTTTGTAACAAGTGGCTTTATGAATGCTGCCTCACAGGGCCCTGTGTGTAGTTGCTTGTAGGACAGGTCCTGGGTAAAACCTCGAATTTGTCTGCAGGAAATCCATGGTGTTCTCATAAGGCTAGAACAAAGGATATGGAACCTTAAAGTACAGATGTTACCTGATATACAGGTGATCATGACCAGCCCAGGCTGTGAGACCCAGGTTTTAGGACCTGCTGGTTTTGAGCCCAGGCCAGATCTGGCCAGTTGTGGGAAAGGCTTGGATGGGATTCCAAAAGTGCTCATTGAGTCTCCTGATGGACCTCAGCTGAGTACATGAAGAGTCTTTGTGTCGAGTACATTGATTGGGTGGGCAAGCTGGGTTGCCACACAGATAGGATCAGGCTCAACCTCAATTGAGGTTGTAAAACAATTGGATACCAAGCAGTGAATTAGATTTTGTCCAGAATGTGTGCCTATGCATAGCTGCAGGATTCATTGAGCACCCACACAAGTTACAGAAGTGAAAGTTCATTTGGGTTTGTGGTCTGAAAGTCCATCATGGCTGGGAGGCATGACAATAGGCAACAGGTAACAGAGTAACAGCTGGAAGCTGAGAGCTCTTATTTTGAAACAGTAGCACAGTGAAGCAGTTAGGAAAAACAACAACATAAAATTGGCAGGAGTTACTTTAGCTCTGAAAACATGCCCTCAGTAACATACTTCCTCCAGCAAGTCCTCATCTCCTAAAACTGCCAAAATGGGCCACCAACTGTGATACAAATATTCAAATGACAAAGCTAGGAAAAACACTCTCATTCAAAGCACTACAACTAATTTTTTCTCAGTTTGGTTCCTATTTTCATCCATTTATTTGAGATTTTCATGTTTAGGGGGATAGACTCAACATATGTGCTTATGCTCCTATGAACTTTTTCAGTAACTGCTATGTTTTTCTCCTTTTATCTATTTTGATTTTGCTAAGTTGGTTGTTCCCTCACTCTGTGAGTCTCTCCTCATGGCTCTCTATTTAGTTTATTTCTTAAGGAGAGTATCCAGATTGAGAGGCCTTTACCTATTTTCCTATACTGAATTGATTTCCCTGTTTCATTCAACTGATTGTGTCTGCAAGCTCTGGTCAGAGGAGGAGGTCTTGGGGTGTCTGGTTACTAAATATGTTCATGGAAGTTACACAGAAGGGACCAGGCTATATTCTAGAGGATGTGCTAAGTCTAGGGGTAAACGTGAACTGAGGGACAAGGGACAAAATATGTCTGTGTGGTTGCAGCTAGTGTAGGGATGGACAAAGTCTAGAGTTTAACTGCTGAGAGGTCAGGGTATGGTCAGACTAGGCTATGACTCTGGATGCATCACAAAGGCTAGAGTGTTCTAAGAATGTCCTGGATTCTGAAGTCAAGGAAACTCACTGGGCTCAAGCCTAGAGAAGCAGTGTGGAGGTGGATAGATATTGGCACACAGGAACCTTCTTTAGGAGCGTCGGTGACTAACGGTTACAGGTAGGGCATTTCACGGTTGAGGCCCAGAGCTTGACTTCGCTGGCAGAGTTTGAAGGAGGTGGGGTTGTAGGAACCGTAATAGGACATGGAAAATAACATGGGGAGTCTGTGTCCATTGTATGTGGATGGAGACAGTACCAAGAAGGCCTATTGGTGCTTACAGGTAAGTCAGATACTGGTAGAATCCTAGAGATTGGCCTCAGTGTAGGCAGTGTTGGTCAGAGTGCTAATGAGTAAATTATATGAGCCTGGGTGAAGTCTGCCGTTCCCTGTTGCACAAACAGGGAGAGTTACATTAGTCCATGGACCTGGTTATTGGATCAAGACTAGATATAGAAGCAGGAAAAAAACCTTGGATGTTGAAGTTAGGACATACATTAGCACCTGGAAGAGGATATGGTAATTCGGAGTACCAACTGGGGTGATGGAGAAAAATAGATAACAGACACGAGGCAAGTTGCAGGTAGGGCCATCCCAGATGAAGGCTAGAGCTTCTCTGAGACAATGCTGGATGTGGTCATCCTAGGTTAGTGCAAACATGCGGAAGCCTAAGTATTACCTATCACTCAGATTAGGTGGCCAGACTAGATCAAGACACTGAAGGTGGGACCTGGGTAGAACCTGCACATTACATGAAGGCTTCAGTGGGGAAGTCCAGGGAAAAAAAGAGGTTGACACCAGAGGAGGCCTTGTGTGTCTGCATACCAAGTCACTTGTTTGAATTTCCACAAAAGGTGTTAGGTTGGGCGCTGTAGGTTAAGGTGGGAAGAATGGTATATTGTCTGGGTTCTCTAGAGAACATAACTCATAAAATGAGTATGTATGCGAATTATTAGAGTGGTTTACAGGCTGTAATCTGACTAGTACAAAAATGGCTGTCTACAAGGGAAGTTCCAGTAATCCAGGAGATGTTAATTCTACCGGCTTGATGGTTTCAGCTGGTCTTCAGTAGGCATCTAAATCCAAAAGAAGTAGGCTCTTATGCCAGTGAATCAAGAGCATGGGCAAGCAGGAAAAGACAAAGAATTTCTTTCTTCCTTGTCTTTTTATTAGGCAACCACGCTCAATTCTACCCCACACCATAGGTAAGCCTTCCCACCTAAGGAAATCTGGATTTAAGGTGGGACTTCCTACCTCATATGATTCAGTTAACTAAAATCACTGTGTAGGTTCTAATGCCATGTACTCAAGAGCATGTGCAAGCAGGAAAAGAGCAATAATTTCTTTCTTCCTTGTCTTTTACCTAGGCAACCACAACTAATTCTACCCCACACCATAGGTAAGTCTTCCTACGTGAAGTGATCTGGATTTGAGGTGGGACTTCCTACCTCTTATGATCATAGTTGTGCTTAGTGACTTGGATTTTTAGGTAATATTGATGTAGTTAGTTGATAATCAAGAATATTAATCACAAATAGGTACTGAGTGACATGGTTAATGGAAACATAAGGAATTTATGACCAGTTTGTTGGAAACCTAGACCTTGGCTGCTTTGCCATGGAGTATGGACATAGTAGGACTATTAGAAGGACTTGGGACAAGGTAAACATGTATTGATTTACAGAAAGGTTTGGTGGGATCACCAAGGGCACTCATTTTCCTTGCTCTTCAGGAAGACATGGGAAATATTGGTACCAAATGAGGGAGTAGAGGAAGGCTACCTGTGGGGTTTACAGGGAAGACAGGTGTTGGTGAAATCCTTGACCTTTGGTATGGTATTCTCAAAGTTGGAGCATGGGATATGGGACCCATAGTAGACCCTAGACAAATATATTTCAAGTGAGTTTAAGGATGTATCCCAGTAGGGGTCTGTGGGTGATCACAGGTAGGGTGTCCTAGATATATCCTAGAGCTTGAATGTATCCCAGGAGAGGGTATTTCGTCTTGTCCTTGTCACTGGATGTTAACATGTGTTAGAATGTGAATGGAGTTCTGTGTAGTCTGAACACAAAATACTGCTTGGGTCATACTGAAGGGATCAGAGTACACCTGTTAGAGGGCAAGGTAAGTCTAGGTGCTGAGGGATATGATGGAAAAACCACAGGAGGAAACTGGGTGGTTACACGTAGGGTGAGTCCTGCCAGAAGTCTAGTTTTTTGCTGCAGCACAGATATGGTATGGTGTTGGAGTCAGACTAGGTTGGAACACAGGAAGTCGAGTACAGACTAGGCAATGGAGGAACATTCAGGGTCTGGATAGCAACGCAGTTGATGTGAGCCACATAATAGTGGTCAGGATAGACCCTGCCCAAGGAGGTGGGGAGCCTTGTTATTCAGGAACATTGTGGAAGCATCATGGTAAGTACTGGTGGGTTATTGCAGGTAAGTAATTCCTGGTTATAGCCCAGAGCATGGATGTATTTACAGCTGAGTTAGACTAAGCCAGGACACAAGATGTAGAATGCTTAGTAAGCCTAGAGATCAGCTGCTGTGGTATCTGAACTAGAACAGGAGGGTTGCAGAAAAGAGGTATATGTAGAGGTCAAGGGATTTCACCAGGGTAGACCTTTAAGGAGGTTATGATGGCAAAAAGAAGGGATCAGGTTAGACCCTGGACTATGATGTGGCCCTTCTCATTATCCAGTATTATGATAAAGTCTACCTAGAATGTTGTCTTGGGATTTGGGGTCTATAGGGGTCCCTTGGTCAATGTCGGAGAGTGCAGTGGTAGCCCATCCTGAATCCTCCCTGAAACCGAGAGACAATCAGATGCAACAGGCCATCAAGTCAAGCCAGATCTCGTTTATTGTATAACAGTAACACTGTCTTAAATCAGAAAATTGCAGGATGGCAATGGTATTACACAGTACATTTAAAGGTATTCCTCTTATTTATCTGGTGTCCTATTCCCTCTTGGGCACCATCTGGGAGTATGATAACCTCATCATGTGTGAGTTTGGGCCAGCCAATTGATATTCTTAGTAAACACTTGAAGCCTTGTCTCTGTATCTTCCTCCCAGTGCCATGTTGTAATGTCAATGGTTGTCATCTTGGATTACTCCCTCTTCTGGTGGGACAGGATCTGTGCTTCTCCAGGTGTGGGTGTCTGCAGGTTAGAATGAGCCCTGCTAGAAGCCTAGAGCTCTTCTGGAGTACAGTTGGTGTTGATAAAATAGGCAGAGGCAAAGATGTGGGGCCCTGGGGAAGCCTAGAATTCAGCTGCTGAGCAAGCATAGCTGGTATCATTTGGCCATGGCAATGGATTGGGGCCTGGACTAAATCTGTTGGGTTTGGTGAAAATCTTAGGTAGGGAGGGGGAGAGGTACAGACTAAGCTAAACTGTTCAGGAGGACATGGAAAGTCTGGGTACCAAGTGCAGTGGCAGAGGGTGTACAGACGGGACCATTGGGTGGGAGGTGGGAGGTAGCACAGTGGTGCCTAATGCCCAGAGTTTTTTTTGGAGTACAGGCCTTAGTAGTCCCACTAGGAAAAAAGTATGGGATACTGCAGAAGTGTAAATGTTGGCTTCTGTGCAGGTGAGCCTGACCAGACTAGGCTAAAGCACTGGTCATGAGACCCAGAATAGATCCGGAGGGTTTCAGAGAACACTTGGATTAGGAGGTCTGGGATGCTTACCTTGCTAGACCCTAGAGAATGACATGGGGAATGTGTATGTGGAGTGGAGTGATAGGTGCTCCGCAGAAGGTCCCTATTGGCAGTTGCAGACAGGACAGGTGCCTCCATTGTGGGCAGAGGAAGCAAACAAGCCTGGAGCACAAGAAGGGGGAACCAGATTAAATTCTTATAGAAGATGTGGGGATTCTGGGTACAGAATGGGGTGGAGGATGGGGCACAGAAAACTCATGTGGGTAGTTGCAAGTATTCGGGTTCTTTCCTAACGCTTAGTTACTTATTTTGACTCATCTTAGGAATCCTCTCTCAGAATCATCAAAATACCCACATTTTTTGCCTTGCAGCCTTAAAACCCTAACCCTAACCCTAACCCTCACTGTTAAGAGTCCCACAAAGTCATCAAGCTAACAGCCATAGCACATACACAGAGGATCTGATGCAGAGTCATGCAGGTCCTGTGATTGCTGATTCAGTCTCTGTGAGCCCCTACGACACCTTTTTAGTTGATTCAGTGGGCCATGTCCTCCTGGTATCCTTCATACACTCTGACTCCTATAGTCTTTCCTGCCCCTCTTCCACGGGGTTCCCTGAGCTTTGAGGGGAGGGATCCGATGGAAATGTCCAATTTAGACTCTTTCTACTCATAATGCCTGGCTGTGAGTTTCTGCACTCCTCCCATCTGCTGCCTGAGGAAGCCTTTCTGATGATGACTGGAAAAGGAACCAATCTAGTATAGACTATGATTACAAATCATTTCATTGATTTTTTTGGTCAGTCATGTTCAGCTCTACCCTAGGTGTTTGGGCTATCCAGTCTTCAGTTCCTGGTCACCCAGGCAGTATATGGCATGGGCTTCAAATTGAACCAGACTTTGGTTAGCCATTCCCACAAGTTCTGTGCCCATCACCCCAGGACTGCGGTGGGTGTGAGTTTACTCTGGTTAGTGGAAAGAAGGCAGAGGCACTCAAAGTATGGCTTTAGCCTTTACAGCTGCAGCAGGGCTCAGTCTTTCATGGACTTAGACACCTTCCCTTAGCCAAGGGCCTCTTTATTGTTTTCCAGTTTGCACCTTTAGCAACTTGATTTCCTTCTCCCCAAAACATCCTAACTAAATTTCCAAGGGACAATGCCAATGCAAATTCCTGATTAAGGAATATCAATCACAGTGTGGTGGATTTTTCCCAACCAAGATTGCATAGACTTTGTTAAACTCTCACACAGGCTTCACATATGTTAAACAGAAGGTGCTAAGGACAAAGGGCAGACTTCATGCTGATATTCAGGAGCCAGCTGCAACTGTGTTCTCCCTACACAGCAAATCTTGCAGGCAGGACAGATTGTAGATCCAAGGTTTTGTGACTGGATTGGAATCTGGGTTTCTCTTTCTGTAGCCTGCAGGGTATCTTCCTATTCCAAACAAACAAGGAACATAGGGGCAAAGGTTCCCTGCCTGTACCAGCTCATCCTCTCCATATTCAATGAGCCCTGTGGATGCTGTCCTTTCAATGGGGCCCCATTGTCAGTTTTCTGAGATTGATCCCTTGTCCTAGAATCAGCCTGGGTTGTTTGGTGATCTCCACTGGACACCCTCAGCCAACAACTCAAAAGAATGCAACCACTGCCATCACTGGAAGCCTTGCCTATCTAGAAGTGCCAGTACAGACCCAATATCCTCTGTTACTAGGAGTCTTCACAAGATTCACCCTCAGAGATTCCAAGAATTTTCCACTGCATTAGTTTTCCACACCATCCTCCAAATGTCCTCCAATTCCAACTATCTCTCTTCCCACTCTCTTCTTCCATCCCTCACCTGATACCTCCCATTCCCTTCCTCACCTGCGCCCAGGTCACCTGAAAATCCATTATGTTTCCCCTTTTCAGGAGGTCCATGTCACCCCTAGAGCCTTACTCTTTACCTAACCTCTCTGGGTCTGTGGATTGTATTCTTTACTTTACAGCTAATATCCACTTATGAGTGAGCACATACTTCGTTTGTCTTTCTGGGTCTGGACTGCTTCACTCAGGATGGGTTTTTTTGTTTGTTTGTTTTGTTTTTAGTTCCAATCCATTTGCCTGCAAATTTCATGATGTTACTTTTTTCACAGCTGAGTAATACTACATTATGTAAATGTTCCACATTTTATTTATCTATTCTTCTGTTGAGGAACATCTAGCTTGGTTCCATTTTCTGCCTATTATGAATAAAGCCACAATGAACATAGTTGCACAAGTGTCCTTACCGTATGATTGAGTATTCTTTAGGTATATTCCCAAGAGTGGTATGGCTGGGTCTTGAGGGAGATTAACTCCTAATTTTCTGAGGAACCACCATAATGATTTTCATAGTGGTTGTACATGTTTGTACTTTCACCAGCAATGGAGGAGTGTTCCTCTTTCTCCACATCCTTGCCAGCATGAGCTATCACTTGTATTATTTGTCTTAGCCATTCTGACAAGTGTAAAATAGAATCTAAAAGTAGTTTTGATTTGAATTTCTCTGATAGCTAAGGATATTGAACATTTCTCTAAGTGTTTCTCAGCCATTTGTGATTCTTTTATTGAGAATTCTGTGTTGAGATCTGTACCCCATTTTTAATTGGATTACTTATTTTTGATAACCAGTTTCTTGAGTGCTTTATATACTACAGATATTACTCCTCTATCAGATGTGGAGTTGGTAAATTATTTTCCCATTCTGTAGGCTGCC